ATTTCTCTACCCTATAAAGTAAGGGAAATTCTGAATTTCAGAGGCAGTCCTAGGGAGAAGTGACAGAGCCCAGAGATTCAGAAAGGTGATAAATGTTCTAGAGAGAGTGAAGAATGCTGTAAGCAGGAACAGAGGCACAGGCATGGGGCAGACCTACAGGATTAGCTATCAAATATCCCTTATTAACCCCTGGATAGCAATACCATTGTGGGGTACTCCATTTAGCACTGGAGAAGGAGTAGAAATAGAGAGCCCATTAAAGGAAACTGATAAGGGATGAGAGGTAGGAAGAAAGCAAAAAGCTATGCGGTGTCCTGAGGGGAATCAAAAGATACTTCAGGTTCTTGGATTTAAATACCACCTATGCGCCAGTGACTCTGAAGGAGAAAATTATTCCCTTACCCTCTTAGGTTCTATAATGGGGTCCTGTGAATTAAACGGATAAAAGACAGTTTAACAGAAGAAAAGTATAAAATTTTGCATCATGTTATTATGTTCGCCATTCATGGGAAAGAAGTGAAAACCTCCTTGAGTTCAATCTCCTGCACCAAAAGGGGGGGAAAAGTGAAAAATCAAGGAACTAGTTAACTAAACATGGAGGCTTACATAAATTGATAAATTGTTGAGAAGTGATAAATTGTTGAGAAGCAACTAGATAAAGGAAATGGGTTTGGGATGTCCAAGGGTGGGCAAATTGTGGGACAGCAAGAATATAGAGTTACATGGGGTTATTCAGTAAATTTATGAGATTCATCTGAGCACTGTCTCTATCACTATTGATAAAAGGTTTTTTTTCCTCTCCCTGGTGCAGGGAAAGGAAAGGAGACACCTTCACAAGGAAAATGTATGCCCCGATTTCTAGGCAGATAAGAGGAAGGCAGAGAGCTCTTCTGGTGTCTGTTTTTTTCTTTTCTATTTTTTTTAATTACCTTCAGATCAAAATACTCAAATACCTATTCTTCCCATACCAAACTGCTTCCAATCTTATCTTTACCATTTTATTAAGTTGCAATTCCATTCTTCCAGTTAGTCAAGCACAAAATCTTTGTCACCACTGATTACTATCTTCCCCTCACTCTCAAAATCACATTAACTACCTTCAGAATATACCTAGAGTCTAAGCACTTCTATCATCTCTACAATAACCATCCAAGTCTAAGCCACCATCATTTCTCACTTGTTTGTAACAATAACCTACTAAATGAATCTCCCTACTTTTATCCCTCTTTTAGCATTTGTTCCTACAGTCTATTCCCAATATGGTAATCAGGATCCTTTTAAAATGTAAGCCTTTATCATATCACTCCTCTGCCCCTAATCTGGCTTGACACACCTCTTGATAGCCCCCATTTTACTCAGTGTGAAATCCAAAATCATTACAATGACATACCAAACCCTGTGCAATCTGACCCATTTCCTTTCTGACCTTAACCCCTAATTCCCTTCTCTTTTGAATGTACTGCAGCCACTGACCTTACTGTTTCTCAAACACACCCTGATTCTCCCACCTCTGGAGTTTTGTGAGTACTGTTCATTCCACTTGCAGTACTGTACCACATAAAGATATAAACAGCTGGGGCTGGGGATGTGGCTCAAGCGGTAGTGCGCTCGCCTGGCATGCATGTGGCCCGGGTTCGATCCTCAGCACCACATACAAACAAAGATGTTGTGTCCGCCGAGAACTAAAATAAATAAATATTAAAATTCTCTCACTCTCTCTTAAAAAAAAAAAAAGATATAAACAGGGTACTGGGAAGAGGGGCTGAGCTATTTTTATAAAAGTATTAAATGGAAGTGGGACCCAGAAATTTGACACTTAGTTTATATATGCAAAAATTAGCCATCAGTCATGCTGCTATACCTAATGGGGAGTCACGGGAGGGTTTTAAACAAAGGAGTAGAAGATGACCTGAAGTGTAAAAGATAGAGTTGGGAAGAATAATTAGGATGCTATTGCAGTAATTGTTCACATATGTAATGATAAAGGGCTGATGAGGGCAATGGCAATAGGAATGATGAGACAGGGAAGAATTCCAAACAGCTCTGTTGTGGAATCAATAAGATTAGTAAATGATTAATAGAAAGGAATGGTAGGGATACTTCTAAGATTTCTAGCATGATTAACTGAGTGAATAATGATGCAGTTATCAGAGTTAAAGAATATAATAAAAAGGGTCAGGTTTTGCTGGGGAAATGGTGATTTCCAGTCAGATATCTAGTAGGTATATGGAAGAGAGTCGGAAATAAACATGTATGCAATATTTTGGAATTAAATTGTTTAAGCATGAATAAGATTCATCAGAATGTATAAAGAGAAAAGAAAGAAACCAAGTACAGAAATATGGTAGCCAGATACATTTGAGAATTGGGTAGAAGGAGAAAAGTCAAAAAGAAATCAGAAGGAAGAAGGTGCTAAAGGTCAAATATCCCTTATCCAAAATGCTTGAGATCAGAAGTGTTTCACATGGATTTCTGGTAGGAATTCTGGAATATCTGCATATACATAATACATAGATATGCTGATTTCATATACACCTTGCACAACAGCCCAAAGTTAATTGTATACAACATTTTTAGTGTATCTACATTTGTATTGCAATCTCTCACGTGAGATCAGGTGTAGAATTTTTCACTGTGACATCATGTCAGCATTCAAAAAGTTTGAGATTTTGGATTTTCATATTAAGGATGCTCAACCTATAGTTCCAAAGCAGTCTTGGGGCACAGAGCACAGAATGCCTGCTCTGAAAATCACAATGATGGGAAGATGGGAAAGATAGCAAGACCTGGGGCTAAGGGTCCTGTGTGCCTTCCCAACATCCACTTTAGAGAGATCTGGTTAAAATGAATAAGGGAAAATTAAAATTAAATGACAACGGAGGATGATTCATAAGAAGAGATGGACATAGATTGATGAAGAGGTTCCTTCTAGAAAAATAGCTATTGCTTTACACTTCCCCCCAGCTCTCAAACATCCATCATCAATCTACATACTTTCCCAAATTTTGCCTTATCCACATAGCACTATTTATTTTTTCCTCTGAATTGACTTTCTTTTCTTTCTTTTTATTTGGAACTGAGGATTGAACTCAGGGGAATTCAACCACTGAGCCACATCCCCAGCCCTATTTTGTATTTTATTTAGAGAAAGGGTCTCACTGAGTTGCTTAGTGCCTCACCTTCTGCTGATTCTGGCTTTGAACTCGTGATCCTCTTGCCTCAGACTCCCAAGCTTCTGGGATTACAGGTGTGCACCACTGCACCCAGTCTAAATTGACTCTTTAATTTAAATGCTTTCTTAAAAATGAGAAACTGATTATCACCATAACTGAAATATGGGTAACACTTTTCATAGGTTAACAAGACTGTTGCCTGCTGAAGTCTTTGAGTGGACGGTCGTTTTCTCTTTGTTAGGAAAAGATGAGAGGGATTAAAGGCATTCTGTATCATAAATGCTAAAGATGGAGAATAGGAAGTTAATGGTCAATTATCAAATACTTTTATAAGATGCTAGCTGGAAAAAGTACTGGATTTGACAAATGAATTATTAGTTAATGGTGGAGATAGAAACAAAATTGTAGTAATCTACAGAGTAAATGGCAATGAGACCATGGGAATAGTAAATCAAAACTCTTCTGTAGAAGATGGTAGAGATGTAACTTGAGAGACGTTGTCCACAAAGGATTTTCATTCCTCACTGTAGTCCTAGCCTAACATTTTTCATCTACTAAGGCACTCAATATCCATTAAATGTGTTTTCATTTATAGATCAGCTGTCCTATGAAAAAAAGTCTCCAAACAAAACAGATTCATCATCATTTTGGGTGGGGAGGGTTGGAGGAGGAAAAGACATTTCATAATTCTAAATTATTTTTCAGATTAATTGGTAAGAATCATTACTAGTTCATCTCCCTTCTCACTACACACACACACACACACACACACACACACACACACACACAAATTATACCTCTTAGAGGAAAGAAACTAAATGGTTTCCCTAAGAGCAGAATAACATAGTCCAAAAAGAACTTCGCTTTATAAAAAAGATTAGGCATTAAGATTCTGCAAGTTGCTGTAAGTACACATTAATTGCTAGTAGGTTATAATTGAAGAATTTTGAAACAATAAATGCTTACAACATTAGATTAATAGGAAAAAATCAGGCTACCATTATTGCATGTGATCTGTTTGAGGAATGGGAAAATATGTAAATAGAACATATCCACAAGCATGCACACACACAAAGTAGAAATAAATACTAGAAGAAAATTTAAACGACTAAGAGACATCTGAGTGGTACAATTAAACTTTTCTGCATCTCACCTTTATTTTCCCAATTTTCTGCAATTAAAAATGGTTTAAAATCTCCATAAAGTCATGGGACTTTGTATGTAAGCGCTAGCTATTTAAACCCCTCTCTTTGGTCTTACATAGCTCTAAGATACCAATAGTCCATAATAATAATCCACCAGACTTCCTGGGATCTTTCTCCTATTCATCTTATAACTTCCCTGGGTTCTTTCTCCCTGACTTCAGGATTCTAAAAGTGAGTTTTAAGAAACCCCTGGACAATGGCATGAAGAGCCTAATCTATTTAAAGGAGCTGCTACCGAGGAAGCCGCGTGGGAAAAGATCACTGACTAGGTCTCGCCCTTCGCATTGAATGAGTCCGTTTGTATCTCCACCCCTCATTTACCTCGTTCTTCTCACCTTTTAAATGGAATCTCATGAAATTTGAAAGAGGTGAGATAAAGCTTGTTGGTGACATGATAGGAATTACCATGGTAAAGATTTCTAGGACTCGGTAGGTCTCTGCCATCCCGTTGGGTGAAAGGCCCCACCCCAAATATACTGAGCCTGACTCTGAGGGGGCGGGGCCCGGGAATCTGCATTTTAGTAGCTTCCCAGGTAGTTCAGATGCTCAGTCAAGTTCAGAACGGAACTCTCTTCCCAGCCTTCCTATTCTCTGATTCACTTCTTGACTTCCGCCGGGTTCTGGCGAATTCTCCAGTTCCCACAACAACAGGAGAGGAGGGAAGAGAAGCCGCCACCAAGAACCTTAGGCCCTTGGGGCAGCCGACCTCCCTCTCTCTCGGCGCCCGCCGGCGGGTTACATAACGGACCGCGGGACGCGTTCTCGCGAGATTTCCACCGCCCCCCTCCTCGCTCCACGTCAGAAGGAACCGGGCGGAGCGGCCAACATGGCGGAACGCAGGCGACACAAGAAGCGGATCCAGGTAGCAAAGCCCAGTCCAGGGGTAGGGGGCTTCAGCGCGCTCGGAAGGAGAGGAAGCGGGGAAGACCTCCTGAAAAGGCGCGCGAGGGAGAGGAGGGGTGGGGTTCCGCCGCAAGGTAGCCCGCTTCAGGCTGTGTCGTTGTGAGGGGCCTGAAGTGGGGCGGTGTTGGCTACCGCGGAGACAGAGGTGGTGGTGGAGCAGCAGGGGAAGGAAGGAGGCGCCGCTCTGGGAATCCGGCCACGGAGACGCGGCTGAGGGCCTGGGGTTCCTGTGGCGGCGCCGGCCCAAGCCTACGCTGGCAGGTCAGCCTTCTCCGGAGCTCGGACAGGGACCCACCCCGACCCGGGGCCCCTCCTCCGTTCCCTTCACCCATCCTCTCGCCTTAGCTATCCCGAAATTAAGGCCACGGTAATTGGGGTAGAAGGAGGCGGAGGGTTGACCTAAAGCAGAGGTTCTTTGTGCGCATAGACGGTAAGAGGGGGAAGGACCTGGACCTGGTCAAATGCCCCAGGGGCGCAGGCTGTGATCCCCTAATCCAGATGTTCAGTTGCGTTTACGTGTTTCCTCAATATTTTAACCTCATAGTTCCACTTGAAGCTTACTGGCTTTCTTCCAGGCGACACGTTGTAAACAAACACAACCCCACTGGTGCTGCAATGAGCTGGTGGCACCCAGAAACCTTTCACATGCCAGTTTGTCATCCTCATAACCTACATAACATCCCTCCCTCATTCCATATGCATATCATCTGTGCATTTCTTCCCAGCAATTTTCCCCCTGTTGTTCTTTGTCAAGAGGATTAAATATGTTGAGCATCTTGGACTCAAGATGTTTATTAGTCTCAGCAGTTCATATGCTGAGAAATCAAAAGCATCATAAATTGATAGCATGTAGTAAAGTTGTCAGTTATACTTATCTCCAATTGTTACACTTACTGTTTTCTGTTCCTGGAATAGAGTGACTTTCCTATTTATATTCTCTGCACTTTTGTTTATCAGCTTATTGGCCCTCTTACAGGTGTTTTGAGCAAGTTAAAGTTTAAATTAAAAATTTTTAAAGTGGTCTTTCAAGTACTCTGAAAAAAGATAATGATCTAGTAAGTTTGCAGTTTGGCAAAAAAAAAAAAAGTAATTGTGAACAGGGTACCAAAGGGAATTAAAAGAGGCAAATTCCAAGTTCAGACAGGTCTGAAGACAAGGGCTTAAGATCACTAGAAGTTTCTAATCATACTATTCCTGATCTTTTGAAATTTAGTGTTACTGATTTATATAGACAACATTTTACCAAAATTTTTATTGGAAGTTGTGAGATTTGTACTTGCTGTACTCCTTATACTTGACAACACAAATTTTATGCCCATGAATACCCACTGTTTGTAAGCTATATTTACAAACTATTCAAAGAGTTTTGAATTCATACTCTAAAAGAAATAAGCCAATCCCAAAGAAACAAAGTCTGAATGTTTTCTCTGATATGCGATGCTAATTCACAGTAAGGAGGGGGGGGCGCTAGGGAAGAATAGAAGTACTTTGGATTAGACAGAGAAATGTATATGGGGGGTGGAAGGATAGTAGAATGAATAAAGACATCATTACCCTATGTGCATATATGATTTCATGGTGTAACTCTACATAACATATAACCAGAACAATGAGAAGTTACACTCCATTTATGTACGATGTGTCAAAATGCATTCTATTGTCATGTGTAATTAATTAGAACAAATTTTTAAAAATATAATATTATATATATATATACATATATATACACACACACACACACACACACACTATTTTACAGTTTAAACTGCACCTTAATATTGTCAGGAAGGGTATATAATTCAATTTTTGAATAGGTGCTGATAAAAAGGTAGATGAATATAGTATAGTACTATAGAGGTAGTGGCCCAGAAATTTAGTGTTTGCCCCTGTGCCTCTTTGTACTGAAGCTCCACCAATTTTTAGAGTAATTTTGAGCAAGTTACTTTTTAACCTCAATTTTCTGCATATGTAAGGGATTTTTTACCTTTAAAAAACAATTGTTTTAAACCTTACATTTATACAGTTGCTGTGAAAACAGTAGGTAAATCATTTATACTTACTAAGTTATAAATGTTACAAAAAGTGCTTGGTGCACAACCTCTTCCTTCTTATCCTCCCCTAGGATAAAGAACTTAGGTTGGATTATTATTTTGGTTTTTGTTAAACACTTTTCAATGTGGTGAAGATTGGTTAACAGCTATCTATTCAGTAAATAAACATTAGATTGTGAGTTACAGAAAGTATATCTACTTACTTTCTATTGTTTATTTCAGGATCTGATTGTTAAAAATTAGTTTTGCATACTGCAAAATGAAAATACATTATTTTCTCATCACAGTTTTTTAAATAACTGTGTAGAATATTTGTGGAAGATCTTGGAGTGGTACTTTTATGTCATTAAAATTCTGACAAATTTATAAAAATACACTGTCCTAGTCAACTCCCCCTTTTTTTTCCTTACCAGAGAGTCAGAAACTCTATGCTATTGATATCACGTGAGATTAAAAGATCAAATTAATGACAAAGTTCAGAGTTTGTTAAAGAAAAGATTCTTTTGTAGGACTTAAAAGCAGAGTATTCTACAATAACACCTGTTTCCTGTTATTTGATGTTTCATGATTATTCATTTCTAGAAAAGATTTTATGTTAAGTAGATTCAGTAACCTTGAATTATAATTTGTAATTTGGGGGAGGATGTTTGGTATAAACAATAAAATAAGTTCAGGGTTAAAAAAAAAAGTAGTAGCTAATTCATTTGCTTTTTCTAGTGCAGCATAATTTCAGATTCTTGTGTCCCATCAAAGTTGGAAGCAAGAAGACTATTGTCACATTTCCTTCTAGGACTGAAAGTACTCGTCACTGAAAACCTGAAGTGAGCCACATGTTCATTGACATGATGAACAAATTTTAATGATGGAGATTCTCAAATAAGAGTGATATCATTCCAAATTAATGAAAAATTTGAATAGAGTTTTAAGTTATTTAAGAAATGCAATTATGTAATGTTTTTAAAGAAATATAGTAACTTCATGCAGATTAACAGTGCTGCTTACTAGAAGCATTGATTTAGAATCCTGTTGTCATGAAATTTAAGAGTTGAAAATAGTCTAGTAAAATTTTTTTTGAAACTTCTTCACCAATTAGTCTGATATAAAAACAAATGATGGGCCTAGAGTGTACTGCCTGCCCTCATTTTACAGATAAACTGATGTCCAGTGAGGTTATGTGACATAACCTGGATTGCTCATCAAGATAGTAAAACTAGTTTTAGATAGATCTTCTAATTCCCAATTGAATAGTCTTTCTACCTCACCATTGATAAAAGTAAGTTATTCAGAAATACTTTAATCCTGATTCTTTATATCAAATTGTACAACAAAAAGACTTAATATGACTTGTCCCAGCTAAAGGGAATCATCTCATCCAGTATTTTGCATATGTGTATATCTTGTTGAGTTTTGGGACATTTAAATGGCTTACTTGTTCTTAGAACTTTTATAACCTCCGTCAGTTATTTTTGTTGGACTTAGCTGTCTTCCTGGCACTAAACCCCTGACATATCATAAGCTATGCTTAATTTCAGGAAAGGAAAGAAAATAGCAACTTTTGGACCATAGAGCCAGACTACAGGTCTTACTTCTCAGGACCTTCTGAAGAAAAGAGAAGGAACCCAGGAAGATAGTCCTAAGTCTGAAATCTCCCCACACAGGTTTAATGGAGGATTTTGCAGTTACCTAACAAACCTGTTGTTACAGAGAGAATACAATAGAAGTGAATTGGAGGTGTTACAGAAGGATACTAATACAGTCAATATACAAAGCTGTGTGACTTTGAGCAAATGATTTACCTTAGGTCCCTTCCAGCTTTCAGATTTTATTCTGTTAACCTATTGTTGGCATTTTCACAAATATTTTTATACTGTCTTTTTTGTGTCTTTGTGTACAAATTTACAGTTTGTAAACTTGAACCTTTTTCTTTTTTGCTCAGTTGAGTATTGACAGATCAAGTAAGGCATTCTATTGGATATAGTTTTTAAATTCTTCTGTATCAGAAATTCTGTAAGATAAAAACCCATGTTTACCTACTCTGGATCTAATTTTTTTTCCTCAAAAATGTTAAGTATTTGGCTAAAATAATGAAATTGGTAATCTGTGTCATTGTAGTGTTTGTTGATGTGTTCTAAAGTAAAAATAGTTTTTGTTAAACAATCTTATAAGAGTGTTTTAACCAAACTTTGAATTTAAAAGTGGTTTACAGCAATTAGCACATTGGTATTTGGGTGCAAAGAAAGGCAGTCTAGCCTAAACTTGTTGGATCTTAACGTCCTCATTCTAACACATTCTAATTTTTTGCCTAAAAATTTCTCTCCTTTTGTTTCAGAGTTGATGGGCTGGTTTCCTTTTCATTAGTGAGTGCTAATTTCCTAAAAGGCCTTTATTTCTTTTTATAAACCTTGAAATGTTAATATTTTGTTCATATCAAAAGGGAACACAGGGAAGATACTGTAGTTCAATGTATAAACAAGAAGCAGGTTAGACTATTTTATACCCTCTTTAGGCTGCAGCTGGGAAACAGAATAAAGCCATCATACAGGATCCCCTGTATGACCAACTTCTCATAGTCATGTTCTCACTGGATCTTTCTTTCTGGCTTCAAAGCCCCAGGAGATAACAAATTGTATTGTTTTCATAAAGGCAATCCATATTGTAATATGGATAACAATTATAAGTTACTGATACTTTAAGAAAGTATCAATGGACAAGTAATTCTGTGTCTAGTTAGGAGAGATTATCCAAATCCTATGTTTTCTAAATCTCTTCTGGTCATTGTTTCTTAGTAGTATCTTTCCAAGGAGGGTATGCAGTTGTGGAAAAGTTGGCTAACTTGAAGTTAATTGTTAAAATGAGATTTAAAAATTTTGTATATACATTATATACAAAATTCCCTATTGCATAATAGAATCAACTTTTCAGCTTTTTATGTATCCTGATATTTAACCCAATTTTACATGTACTACTTTGATTATCTCTCAGAAGATTAATACATTTATCTGTAATCAGTAAGTGTTTTAATTGAGTTAGTGTGAATATTGACATACCATGTCAGAGTGACATTATTGTTCTCCAGAATTACCTTCCTCCCAGTTTCCTTTCTGTTATTGAAAAACTATCATTTCTGTTGACCTACATACCTTTAACTAACCTTTTCATTCATTCTTTATAATTGAATCCTATTTATTCTATATTTGTAATGTTTCAGATATCTACATTTTTTTTTCCCTGTTCTTGGTCTGGCATCACATCACATTTACTTGAATATTGTAGTAGTCTTCTAACTAGTTTCCGTGCTTTATGAGTTTTTTGTTGTTGTTGTTTTCAAATTCATCTCACAGAACCACCAAAGTAATATTTAAAACATTTTTCTAATTCTCTTCTATTCAAAAATTACTAGTGGTCTTTCTGCTGCTTACAGAATAAAATAAAAATTACTTATACATATTAATCTCCCAGAGCTTCATAACTGGTCTCTCCTGGAGTCCACCGGGTTTATACTTTTCATTCAGTTTACCCCAAACTCATTCATCTTTCAAAATTCAGTGCCTTCTTTCAAGAAATCCTTTTTAACTGTTCCTATCCACATTTATCTCACTTTTACTTTGTGTACATCTAAAATATATTTCTTCCACTCCTTTTGGAAAATAGCAGTTGCTTCTTTTGATGGTTATGTGCCAAAGTGAAGGTGTCATGCCTTACAAATGTTTGGTATTAACAGTAGCATCTGAAGATCATAGGATAAGCAGTCAAGAAGTACATATTTGAATGGTTTTTCCTCCCACAATTTTTAATGCCAGTAACAAGTTATCAATTAGATATATCTTCAAATTGACAACAGATGTATCAGATGAGGGGATAATGAGTATAGTTGTGATTATAAAATAGAATTGGTTTCTGTAAGGCATTAATATATCATTATTTTCAACTATTATGTAATTTTTTCAGCTGTATGAATATATATATTTACTAATAGATGAAGCTCATGTTTATTACACATGTACATTATACAATTAAATACTGTCATTTAACATGTGATGTCAACATATATTAACATAAAATGGTTTTAAAAATTCTAATAAGGAATTTCACCTTTTATTATGTCAGGAAATGTATTTTATAGCTAAGACTCAGATCATGAACTATGTAGATGTTAGTGAACTTTTTGAGTGTTAAAATATTGATTTTGCAATTTTTTAGGACTCTGGGGTTTTTGGGGTACGTATCTTAATAAAATTTTTTTCATGAGTATTTTGTTTTTATAGTAGTCTTCATTCCAGTTGAGTCGTTTGAGCTTTTAATTTTTATTGCTACAGATAACTCACAGCTGATAGTGGCAGAGTATATAATAGAAAATTTAGAGAGAGATATGGAAGAAAACAGGGAAGAATTAAAGCTTTTTCAAAACTACTTTGTGAGTGTGCTTCCATTAACCAGATGTTCAAATGACATAGTAATATCTGTTTTCTGCAGTTCTAATTTTTGCCTTATCTTTATTAAGGAAAAGAAGAAGGCAAGGTAGGAAAGGAGTCCCAGACAATACCTGGTATCTGCAACTACAGAGGAAAGGGGAGGGAATTAGTACCAATTGTCAGCATCTTAGGAGTTCTTAAGGAATATTCATCGAGGCAGCTATCCTTGGTTACTTTGAGAACTGTCCCAATGGGCTATACATATTATTCTGGGTACATACTTTGGTTGTAGCTATTTTACACTTAATTTGTCATACTTTGACATTTGGGCAGTCACTATTGGCAACATCTTATCTTTTAAATTATTGTTTTGTGACTATTAAAAAGATGAACTGGTACAAAGTAGTTACCATACTGGAAAAACAATTCAAATGCCAAAAAGCAGAGTTGAGGCCAAAAAAGCAGACAGGTCTGGCCCTTGTCTATTTGTATTTGAAAAATATATAGTTTAAAAATCTCTATTTTTCTCTTTTTTGTGCATTACCAAGCTCCAGAGATTGCCTGAAGCAAGGGCTGTAGTTCATTTGAAAAGATTTACAGAACAGATCTGTAAATTATTCTTCAGTGCATAAATTTCTCAAGTAAATCATTACATTAAATTAATATTCTTACGTTGCAGGAAGTTGGTGAACCATCTAAAGAAGAGAAGGCTGTAGCCAAGTATCTTCGATTCAACTGTCCAACAAAATCCACCAATATGATGGGTCACCGTGTTGATTATTTTATTGGTAGGATTATAAAACAATATTAGTGTACATATCATATGAAGTTACCTAAATTTGGATTTTGTAGACGTTTTAGAAGTACTTGCCAAGTGTGTTTATTAAAAGTTGGTGATTAATATATGACAATTGATTATCCTATTCTTTTTAATTGCATTTGTTGGAAATTTTAAAAATAGGATTTACTTTTAGTATTCAGAAGTGTTAACTTTTATCTTGATAGTATGTGTACTTGGAACTAACTAGGAGCTTTGGTTCTTCATATTATCCATACAACCCTGTTATAAACTCTTGTAGTATATAATAGGGCCCATAGCTTATAAATAGTGGTTGTGTTGCCTTTTTTATCAATTAAAATTGAGTTGCCATTATAGAGAAGAAATTCTGTATCTTCTCTTTCTTTAGTAATATTAATGATTTTGATATTCAGAGTTTTTTAAAAATAGACATACTGATCACTTTAAATCTAACATTTAGCTATTTCTACTGACAGTAGTTGATTGTTTACAGAGTTATTCTTCAGTGGGTTACAGTAAAATTTGATGAGAATTTTTATTACTGTGTGGAGAAAGAGGAAGGTGTTTGAGTTTGTTTATCCTGTATTTGATAAGAGTGATAGTTGCATACAAGTATTTTGCAAATTTTTGTCATAAACATTTCCCTATTAATTTACCTTGTTTTAAATAGTATTTCTGAGAGCCACTTATTTCACAACGTTACTTTAAAAGATGCTTATCAATATATTTCATAAATTGAGGTTTTAAGGAACTGTTATGATGGTCATATTATACTTAATTTTACATTGTGCTAGGTTTTATTTTCTGTGTCAGAATGTTGAAATTTGCCTTATGAAATATTGTTTATGTAGACATAAGTTCCCATGAATACTAAATTTAAAATAATAAATTTCTTCTTTAGCTTCAAAAGCAGTGGATTGCCTTTTGGATTCCAAGTGGGCAAAGGCCAAGAAAGGAGAGGAAGCTTTATTTACAACAAGGGAGTCTGTGGTTGATTACTGCAACAGGTAGTATTATTTCTTAGCACAACAAAATTTATTTCTTTGTATAACAAAATAATTTTTAAGTTTCACCATAGTATTAAAACTCTTTACTTATTTTTTATCATTAACGGTAGCTTTTTTACTCTATTGCCAGGCCCGCTAAACTAAAGGGTCAGCAATATATCATATGCCAAAGTCTATAGTGAACAAGCTCTTTCTCTTTTAGAGCAAATGGTTGGGAGTGTTTTTCTAAAACTTTTGCAGGGATTCCTATATCCTTGTTATCCTTGGTTTTTTAGTGTCTGTGCCCAGAACCATAAGCCAGATACCCTTCCCTGTTTTTAATGATTACTAATGTAGTATTCCTTGAAAATCAAGGCAACTACATCTACTTTTCCTGTCTTTGAGAATTCAGGATGCAGTACAATTTGGTAACATAGATATATTTTTCACATTACATATTTTTTCTTTGCAGACACTCCATGGATTTACTTATTAATACTTACTAAGTATATTCAATAGTAGATGTTGACTGAATTTTGTTTTCATGACACTGATATTTATAATCTGAGAATTGGAGATTTTAGATTATTTTTCATGTTCGTAGGGAGGGATACATAGCATTTCCCCACATAATCTTCACAGTGCATTAATGTGTATTCAGAAATATTCCATGCATCCTAATCTTGCACCAAAGATTAATAATAAATGATTTCTAAATGACACCAGCACAATTTTTAAAAAAAGAAAAAGAAAAAAGCTGCATATAATGGTTCCATCCCACTTTTTTGCAAAAAGAAAAAAAAAAATGCTGAGATATGGTGTTAATATTGGGTTTACTAACACTTAAGATATTAGCCATCTGAGAATCCTCTTAAAATCCACTGTTTCACAGCCTGGTTTCTTAAACTGTTGTATTAAATAATCATCAAATATTTATCTTTTTGTTGTTGTTGTTGTTGTTTTTTGGCACCAGGGATTGAATCCAAGGGCACTTTACCACTGAGCCACATTCCCAGTTTTTTTTTTTTTTTTTAGTTAGAGACAGGGTCTCACTGAGTTGCTTACGGCCTCACTAAGTTACTCAGGCTTGCTTTGAACTCAAGAGTCCTCCTACCTCAGCGTCCTGATCCACTGGGATCAAATATTCCTTAAAATTCTTAGTTGTCAAAGACGAGAGATCACTAATAGGCATTTCAGAAACAGTACGTTTCATTGTTGGGTGGGGATACCCTAACAGTGGTGCAGTTGATATTTACTTGTTCCTTACAGCAATTTGTCTAATTAGAATTAGCTCCAAAATACAAACTCCCTGCCCACTTCAAAATAATTTTTTTTTTTTTACATATGGTGTAAAAATTATAAATGCAGCAACTGAGGCATGAAGAATTTAAGAACCTTGCCCAAGGTCACAAAGCTGGTAAGACTTAAGGTTCTAAATACAGTATTCTGGCTTCAAAGTCCATGCTCTCAACCACTGCACTATGACTATTTCCTCCAACAAGATGATGGTTCTTTTAAGGGAGCAAAGATTACAATTGAGTCACTTGCCAATACTAATTTTTTTGGATATTAAATCTCTGAGACTATTTCTCTGAGAAGGAGAGCAGCCAGTATGGCCCATATCTATTTGGGCTTGTAGGAGCTATGGAACCATTTTAAAAGCTTTTAAAAGCTCCAAAGACCTAGGTTCAGAGAATGTCATAGAGGTGTTCTCACTTTTCATTTTATATGTTATTCCCATTTATGTTGTGTCTGTCCTTTTTTTTCATTAAAATAAAGGAGAGAAGCCATTTCTAATATAACTATTGAGGATTGGATGGCCAGTCCTCATGGGTTCCTGCTCAGCCATAGAGAAAACCACAGTAAGATTCTTGTCCAGTTTCACTTGAAGTGTGAGGAAAGACACAAAACAGGAAAATGTGGGATAGTAAAAAAAAAAAAAAAAAAAAGATCTTTTCTAGTACAATCTGTACATTTTGTGGCCTACTGCACACATGAACTCTGCAAACTAGTTCAGACTAGGTGTCAATGAAATTTTGCATCACTGACCTGCAGTCTAGTAATGTCCTCCTCACTCTTGTGCAAGTGAGTCACACTCTTTCTCTCTTCTGGTCTTTCTGTGATCCTAACCTGCCACTTTCCTTCAGTGGTTCTCTTTCCTCTATCCAATCTGCCTGTCAATATTACAAACACATCTCTCAAGTCCTACTTCTACCATGTAGTATTCCCCAGGTCCTCCAGTTCACATTAACCTTTGTTTCTAAAGTTATACTGACTTTTCAAGTTAGTATCATCCAGTTTGGCCCTTAACCATTTTAGAATTCTGGTATATGTGTTAGTGTTTTAATCTCTTGCATCTAAATCTGAAAACAGTTGTAGGATCATTTCTCCATAGCACTTGGCACAATGGGACATGTAATTAAAATTCACCATTGATACATAGGTGAAAGTACCTAATACAGGCCAGGCGTTAAATAAATATTTGTTAAATCTGAAAAAAAAATGCTTAAGAAGTGAGAAAAAATACAGAAGTAATTTTAAAACTTTTTACAGGCTGCTTTTAAACCATTTATTTACTCAATCATGTATTTATCACATATCTATTGTAAAGCAAGCCCCTGGAATACAATTACTGTGACTTGCTTCCTATCTCAGAAAACAGAATTCTAATCTGTTGGGACAGATTTATAATTAATAACAATAGCTGATGAAAATGCTTTAATCAAAATTTGAAACATAAATAGGCAGTTACCCAACAAAAAAGAGAAAAGGGGTATTTATTCCCAGGAGAGGGCATAGGATATATTGAGATAAGAAAGTATAAGTAGTTCTGTGAAAAATATCAAGACAGATATTTCTTTGGGCTCATGATTTATTCTGTATCTCATATGTAAAGCCAAATAAGTAGAGGCTTTGATTTTATTACAAAAGTTAAATAATGTTAATCTCACATTTTTAAGCATTTTTAGACATCCTCTAAAGACCCATAAATGAGTAAGTCAGTGATTGTACTTAGTACAAAATGGACTAGTGCTATAATGATCTTTGAAACCAAATGTATATGTATCCCATAACTAGTAATTGCAGTTGAAGATTTTGCCATAGCAATAATGATAACATTTATTGACTCTATGTATACCAGACACTATGTTCAACAGTTACAAGTTCTCAATCCTAAAAACCCCTATGAGATAGGTATGTCATTTTAGAAATCAAGTGAAGTTAAGTTACTTACCTAATGTCATTTAGCTAGTCAGGTGGTAAAGATGATATTTGAACCTAACTCAATGTGAAATTATTTTCAACATGATTTGATTGGAAGTTAATAATCTACTTTTCTTTCATGGGTGGGGATAACCTTGCAGGAAGAGTGAAAAGTGACAGAAGAAGCAGACGGTCCTACTTGTCCTATGCCCTTCTGTATCTGCTCATCAGGGAAAAGGTTTTTTCCCTCTTACTAAAGTTCAATGGTTTATTTCTTAAATTACTTATTTCTTTATTAAGAGTTTTTTCCACTGATATAAATTTCAGAAACTGAAGATAAAGAAAATGATACAGAAGAAAACCTAAATTATTGATAATGTTGTTTTGTAGTTAAACACATTACCATTTGAGAATATACATTTAAAGTATCTATATGTGTATACATGTACTCTCAATATGTGGACATTTATTATGTGGACATCTGTAATATAAACTATAATATAAAATGCTGTTTTTTTAAATTAACATTACATGAAAAAGATTTCATTTTCAGATTAAATGATAATAAATGTTTCTTCTAGGAAATCACATAAAGGCACAAACAGAATTGGAATATATGTTCATTATAAATTTGTCAAGACATTCTGAAGTAAAAAATATAAATTACCCCTTTATATTCAAACACCCCACTACTATTATATCCCACTTACTGTTTATAAGTAGCTAATCATTAATTCTTAATTTTATTTATATGTGTATTTACAAAATTATATGCTAAATAGATTTTCTGAACAAATAGAATAGGCAGATGAGGAAACCTAAAAGTAAACTTTATGGTAATGATTATGGATTGGACCTAATGTGCTACAAATGGAAGCCCATCCAGGCAGGTGAAATATAAGTGCTCCAGTGGGCATAACACAGTGACCAGAAAGAAGTGGTCATCTGGACAGGAAGATCTATTTCACAAATGACATGATGTTCTAGAGCAGGCACCAGTGAGGTGTAAATAGAAAGGTAGATTAGCAGGTACAGATAGTACTAGTGAGACCTTGCTTCTAGATTGTGTTGTGGTAGTTGTACATTATCAAGGCAGTAGTGAAGAAAAAGATAAGAAACTTAGAAGCTTGAACATAAGATTTGAAAAAGTTGCTTATAAATGATAAAATGAAGGGTAACCCAGTTTCTTGGTAGGATTATAAGGTTAGAAAGGAACTGTCAACCGCAAAGTTGATTTAAATTGGGATCAGCTGAGCTTCTAAACTTATCATAAAAATGAATAAAACAAAGATCTCATGAAGAGTTTACAGTTAGTGAAAGAGCAAACAGTTGTAACAAATTATATAGTAAGAAGACAGATGCTAAGGATAGGATAACAGGAAACAGAAGAGAGGATGGGGTGGGCTTGTGGTTTATACACGGTCAACTAAGGTTAAGGGAAAACTTGAAAAAACTTGAAGAAAGTAAGGCAGTAAAACAAAAAGACATGTTTATTTAGGGGGAAAACATTCCAGATGAAAGGATCAGCCAGTGTAAAGGTCCAGAGGTGAGAATGTAAAAAAAAAAAAAAAATAACTACTAAAAAGAAGAAAGAACAGTGTGTATAGAGAGAAGTTAACAAAAGCAAGAATACATAATATTTTGCCAAATATATTTTTCAAATTGATCTTGTGATAATCCTTATCAGAGTCCAGAAATCTCATCTTACTGTATTTAATTATTCATTACTTAATTGAAAATATCTCATCATAATGCCAGCCTGAATAGTGAAGTCCATGGAGAAAAAAAAACGACACCCAGAAAAATGGTGAAGAGATATGAATAGAATTAATCAAATCATGGACACACTTTTTTTCTTTTCTTTTTCTGTACTAAGGACTAAACTGGGAGTCAGGGGGAGGGTTATTCTACCACTGAACTATATTATTCTCAGCCCTTTTTATTTTTTATTTTGAGAGAGTGTCTCACTAAGTTGCCCAGGCTAGTCTTGAACTTTTCAATCCTTGTGCCTTAGCCTTCCAAGTTGCTGGGATTACAGGTGTGCGCCACCATACTTGGCATGACACACTTTTAATCTGTTAACATTTTTACACTATTTTCCTCTTTATCATTTCTGGCATTGAGACTTACTTAACATTAAATGAGGCTAGTCTTGCTTACTCTTAAAGGACCTAGAGATAAATTTTATATCAGTAATTACAAACCTATAATCTCTTTTATACCTAAATTAAATAGTTAAAAGTGAAAATTATATTGAATATCATTGAGTTTTGACAACTTTCATATAATCTAATTGACCTATAAAAGGTTTTTTGACTGGTGTAGTTCAGTATATTTCTATGGGCTTACTAGTTGTAATTTATGGGTTGCCAATTTATGTCTTTCTTTGCTCATTTTATTTGGGTCTTGATCTTTTTTTGCTTTTTAGTCTATGTCTGTATAATAGATTGGGAATATAATGTTATACTTTTTTACCCCTAAGGCTTTTAAAGAAGCAGTTTTTCCACCGGGCTTTAAAAGTAATGAAAATGAAGTATGATAAAGACATAAAAAAAGAAAAAGATAAAGGAAAAGCTGAAAGTGGAAAAGAAGAGGACAAAAAGAATAAGAAAGAAAATATAAAGGAAGAAAAGACAAAAAAGGAAAAAGAGAAAAAAAAAGATGGTGAAAAGGAAGAATCCAAAAAAGTAAATTAAACTAAAATTAAGTAAAAATGATGTGTATTTGATCTACTGGGATATAAGCATATTTAAAATATCAGCACCCGTTTGAGATGATTATATTGGGATTATTTATAAATATCATAGTTAAGAATCTTTTGTGTTAAAAGTGAAAAAATTTTTGACTATATTAATGTTATATTGCTTTTCCTTGATAATAAGTGTTATTTCTATTATTCACCTGTGGTTTTCATAGGAGGAAACTCCAGGAACTCCCAAAAAGAAGGAAACGAAGAAAAAATTCAAACTTGAGCCACATGATGATCAAGTTTTTCTGGATGGAAATGAGGTAAGAGTATATAAGAGGAAACCTAAAGAAATAATGGCTTAATACAAAATAGTTGCTTATTTCTTTCTCATCAGTATAATCTAGAGAGATAGGGCAGCTCCATAGTGGACCTAAGTTCCTTTGTTTTCACCTTTGAAGATTGCCTCATGGTCCAAAATGATTGCCAACCTGGATATCTATATCCAGAAGAGGAAAAGAGTGAAAAACCATGCTTCTATTTAAGAAGGCCTCTTAAGGACACTGTCCAAGAAGCTGGCAATTTCATTTCTGCTTGAATTCCACTGACTAGAATCTAGTTACGTGGTTATACTTACCTGAAATAAAGTCTTAGATATGCACTTTTTATGCTGAATGATCATCTGCCCAGCTAAAATTGCAATTTTCAATTATTATCAAAGAAAAAAAGAACAGAGTAGTTAATGGGGGACATCGACTGATCTCTGTCTCTTATACACATCACTTGAGGGACTTAAAATTTTCAACATTATTTGATGCTTTGCTCAAGGAGCTAGCTTTTATTGTATCTTTTATAATTGTAAATTTGTGTGGTGGCAACCTTCCAGGAAGATTACATTGGTTAATGTAGTTACTTAACCAATACAAAAACATTAGTTATATACAATTGGGCTATTGTGAATTTCAGGGCATATTCTTTCTTACTAAAATATTAAGTAGTGTATATAAAATACTGGCTTCTAGGGCTATGTGTTTGAAATTCTGGGGAAGCTTTTTTAAAAGTATATGTTCTGGGGCTAGGGTTGTGGCTCAGTGATAGAGTGCTTGCCTAGCATGCACAAGGCACTGGGTTCGATCCTCAGCACCACATAAATGTAAAATGAAGATATTGTGTCCACCTAAAACTAAGCAATAAATATTTTTTAAAAAAACGTGTTCTGTCTAGGCTTTTCGCAAACATATTTGCATGAGAATCTTAAATTTCTTAAACGGAAGGTTGGGTGGGCATGGGTATGCATCTGCATACAAATATCTTATGGTAATTTTAATGGTTAAGAACCTTGGTTGATGTCTACCATGTGAGAGGCCCTGGGTTTAATACAGTGTACAAAAAAAAAAAAAAAGACAAAAGTTTGGTTAAGAACCCTTGTAATAGAAGTGCACTAGTACCATCAGTTAAGCATTGAGCATTAGCTATATGCCAGCTATTTTTATAGGTGCTGGGAATAGCATGGTAAGTACAATGAAATTCTCTACACAGAAGCACTTAGCAGTCTGTCAAACACAGAAGCATTTAAACTAGTTACTTTGTTGAATGGTAAGCATTAATGGTGTAAGATTAACAATTAGGAATTGTTATTCAAAAACTAATTAGAAAGGACAAGTAGGGTTTAAAGACCCTGGACACAGCTGAGCCTTCAAGGCTGACAGGCTGATTGCCAAGTGAACCAGGAAGAATTTATGTCTTTTAGGGAAGGAAAAGCTGAGCAAAAGCATGGGTCTTGCCATCCTGAAAAGACTAGATTTTATTCTTAGAAACCACCATGTATTCCACAATTTTTAAAGGTAGGAAATGTCTTTTTTTCTTAATATATTTATTTAGAATGGTAAGTAGCAGAAGTAATGTCTATGGACTTATTTCCAGGGAGATTGTAAAGAATAAAAGTAGGGATTGAAGCAGAACCCCAGGTGTTAGAAATAGAAGAACCAAGTTGGAAGGACAGAAAGAATTCTGGTCAAATAGGAAATGAAAGACTTCTGTTATTTGTAGAAATTAAGAAATAAAACTAAAAGTTATGGATGATGATTGAACATCTCCAATCTGAACGATGTTCTGTTGTATAAAATTGCCTGCTAAAAGTACATCAAGCTTTAAAACAGTGGTTCTCTTCATGTGGGCTAAAAACCCTCCTTGAAGGAGTGGACAGTGAAATTATTGCAGGGAGTCACTGAATCTTTATGTTCCCCAAGCATGATAGTGGTTCTTTGTTGTCAGTAGGAGAGAAAAATATGTAGTTTAGAGCTGTTGGATCTTAGTAAAACCTGGCTGGAATCTTAACTATGTTCTTAGCCCAAACAGATCCATTATTACATAGGAACAAAAGGATTGATAATTGCTGATCCTTATTTTGAATAAACAGTGATTTGCACACATAAACAAATTATTGAATGCATGGAAGTATGTACAAAACAAGCAGCATTCTTATGATCATTTTCTAACTGAATGAATGCCAAAGGAACCATTATTATTAAAGGGAAAGTCTTTGGAATTTTTCTTAGAAAGTAAGCCTCATATATTAAGATGTTGGTGACTGCCTTAGAGGTCCTTAAATGTAGAAATAAACTTTATGGTGGATGCAGTGGTGCACACTTGTAATCCAACTTGTCAGGAGGTTAAGGCAGGAGGATCACTTGTTTGAGGTCAGCCTGGGCAACTTGGCAAGATAGTCTCAAAAATTTTTTAAAAGGGCTGGGGGTGTGGTTCTGGTGAAGCACTCACCTAGCATGCACAAGGCCTTGGGTTCCAATCCCTAGTATCACCAAAAAAAAAAAAAAAGACCTACTTTCCATTGTGACCTTAGAACTTGTAAGCACTAAGGTTTCTTGATTCTTCTAGGTTTATGTGTGGATCTATGACCCAGTTCACATTAAAACATTTGTCATGGGATTAATTCTTGGTAAGTAGCAGGATGTAAGTAGCATTAAAGTATAATCTAAAATTTAGGAAACAAATGCAGAACCACAAAGGAAATTATTTCTAAATATAAAAGTTATTGTTTCAAAGTGAGTACTTTAAATAAAGTCAGAAGATAAATGGTAAACTAAGGAAAATATTTGCAATATATTAAAATGAAGATCTTTAAGAGATTAACAACTTGGTAGAAAAATGGTAAGGTAGTGCACAGATAAAGCATTACAATAACCAATCATGGATGATACTTAATCACGCTCAAATACAAAATAAAGCAACAGTGATTAAAGGAATAATAGAGTTTGACAGTGAAGGTCTTAGTTAGAAGGTCTCTCCAACACTTGACAGGTATATCCATTGTTTTAATTTTAGAGGGAGGTCAGTTTGGCATATCTTTCAAATTTTAAATGCATATACTCTAATCCTTCAATTATACTTGTAGGAATTTATCCAATTTTATGCGTGTAGTTGCACAAGCATATGCATTTAAGTGTTGCGTATTTTAATCCAAATCCTTCAGACTATATTTAAGAGCATAATCTAGCATATAATCTTTCAAATGTTAAATGCCTATATCTTTTGGCCTAATAATTCCATTTAAAGGAATTCACTCTGTTATACAAACACAGTTGCACAGATGTATATGTACAAGGATATTTGCACTGATATTATCTGTTAGAGGTTCAAACTGAACAGAATTCAAGTTCTTTAATAAGAAAGGGGTAAAAGAAATTACAGTATAGTAGAATACCATGTATCTTTTAAAGAATTAGTATGCACTGATTGAAAGATATCTAGAATGGCCAGGTGTGATGACATGCACCTATAATCCCAGGATCTTGGGAGGCTGAGACAGGAGGATTGCCAGTTCAAAGCCAGGCTTTAAGCAACTCAGGGAGACCCTGTCGCTAAATAAAAATATAAAAAAGGGCTAGAGGTGTGGCTCAGTAGTTAAGTACCCCAGGATTCAATCCCCAGTATCCAAAAAAAAAAGAAAGAAAGATATCTGGAATATATCTAATTTAAAAGAAATTGCAGAAGAATAATATTTATTCAGAAATGGAGTAGAACAAGAATTAAACGAAGATGTAGTCTTCACTATACCTTCTGATTTGTTTTTTTGAACATGAGTATATTTCTCTAAGTTCAGGGTAGGAGTGGGTAGGGAAGAATGATATAACAAATAGAAAAATAGATATTAATTAAAATAATCTTGGTGAATATGATATCATAGGACCTCATTCAAAACAACTCTTATGATAAGAGTAGAAACTGTTAAATCCAAATAGCTAATAGCTATTGATTACTACTAATGTAGTAGTCACTTTGCTAAATATTTTACAGACAGTATATCATCTCATCCTTACAACAGCACTGATTAACTCTAAAGTAACTTAGCCTGAAAAGGATTAAGTAACTTGCTGTGTGTTACTTAGCTTATAAATGATAGAGCTAGAATTTGAATACTGTTCTAAAGACCTACTAATACTGGAGATACTTCTATACAGTACGCCTGATTTTAAAAAGGCAGTCTGTAGCAGAATCAGCTGGTGAGCTTCTTGAGTCTGTGAATATCAGAGCTCCACCCCAGAATCACAATCTCTATGATAGGGTCTTTAGAATTTTATTTATTTATTTATTTATTTTGGTTTGTTATTTTTTGTTCTTAGCTTTTCCCCCAAAGAATATGTTCTCTATTGTTACAACCAAGTCATTTAAATTTTTATTCTAAAAGTTATCTATGTAATTTTGTCATTTCTTGTTCTAGTGATTGCAGTTATAGCAGCCACACTCTTCCCTCTTTGGCCAGCAGAAATGAGAGTAGGTGTTTATTACCTCAGTGTGGGCGCAGGCTGTTTTGTAGCCAGCATTCTTCTACTTGCTGTTGGTAAGTATTACTAGTAGTAAAACTAACCTCAGTAAGGTAGGTATTGAGCAGTTGGAACTATAATCTGGAACTTTAGTAAAACTTAATAGCAAAATTAACATAAGTATGTCAAGAGTTACATGATTCTACTCTCTGGGTTAAATCCCAAAACGTGACTCAGACTTGATTAGTTTGGGTCTAATCTGAAGAAAGGATTACTGGATTTTTTTAATTTTTAATTTTTTGATTAATATTACATTTGATTGACAAATCATGATTATACCATGAGGTACAATGTGGTGTTTTAATGATTAAATCAAGCTAATTAACATATATATCACTTTGCTTACCTTATCATTCTTTATGGTGAAACATTTTAAGTTTATCCTTTTAGTTATGTTGAAGTAAATAATACATTATATTTTAATCTGAAAAGGGTTTGCTTTAAAGATTAACTACAGCAAGAATTTATTATTTTTGTAGTAATTTATTATTCAGTAAACACTTTGATATTTCAACAAGGCTGGGGTTATGGCTCAGCATAGAGCGCTCACCTAGCACATGCAAGGCCCTGGGTTTGATCCTCAGCACCACATAAAAATAAATAAAGATATGTGTCCGACTAAATAAAGGTATAAAAAATGTTGTATCTGATTAAAAAAAAGAGTAGATGGGAATCTTTGATTTTTTGTCTGCCTTGTCAGTTTATTGCCTGCTCTTAATTTTGTCTTTTTGATGTGAAAAGGGTTTTTAAATTTTTATGTGATCTAAATCTATTAGCCCTTTTGATCATCTTCTTGGCTACAGAAGACACCAATTTATTTATGTTTTCCTGTTTGATGTTTAAAACATTTAATTTCTCGATGTATCTAAAATTTATTTTGGTACCTGAGTAGAAATTACTGATTTCCCCCAAAGTGGCAAATCATTTGTTTAGACCAAATAAAACCTAATCTTACCATATATAGCCTGGCCATAGCAGAATTATAATATGCTTTATTGAATAAAAAGCACAGAATTTAAATATTTAATATAAGCTGCATTGGCCTTGTTGAAATATCAAAGTGTTTTACTGAATAATAAATTACTGCAAAAATAATAAATTCTTGCTGTAGTTACTTTGAATATGCTTTGTTAATTCACCATTTAAAATAAGACTTTTGGCATTTTTCTAAAATTTGTCACTGTTGGTATAGAAATGGTATGACAGTACATGTCACAGTTTTTCTGTGATTCTTCCCTTTGCTCCTGGTAATCTAATGCCACATGGAGAAAAAACTGTAAAGCATGTTAGAATTCTGCCATGCCCAGTTGTGCCATTTCTATATTGAATTTTCTTAGGTTTTGATACAAGATTTCATATTATGAATCATCTGTCTTATAAACCTATAAAACCTATCATAGTATTATAATTGTGTTTGGAGAAAAAAATGTTTAGCCTCCTTAAAAGTTATTCATTTTCTCTCTTAATCTATCATGGAACTTGTTCTTGTCATAATTTCAAACATTTACTTTTTCTGTTTGGACCACCAAAGATTCTAACAACATTCTTTTTGCATATTTATATTCTTGTGGAAATAAAATACTACTTTATAAATAAGGTAGTTTATTTTTAAATGCTACTCTAAAAAATCAAGGCATAGCTATAACTGTTTTTTTATTTTTCCAGAACAAAATAATGGAAGAAGCATTGACAAGCTTTTTTGAGGCTTTATATGAAACAGTGATACATAGTCATGAAGGAAAAAAAAGTATCCATTGATTAGCCTATAACATTTATATAATCATTATGGTCTTTATAAAAGAAAAGTCACTGAGCCATACATAACTGGTAAATTAATAGAAAACTACATGAAGTATTAGAGTTTGTAAAATTTCATTATCTCAGTTTTGTCATAATATATTGTTCTAAAAGAGTAATGTCATAAAACATACATAAACTCCCTTGCTTTCATTAGTATTATATTGTTTCTTACTATTGAGAGAATTGGTCCTTAAATAAGCAAAAATTATATAACTTACCTAATTAGTAAAACAAATAGAAGATAGATGCTAGGATTCTTTATCCAGGGTTGACCTATCCTTGATTTTTTAGAGTAGCATTTAGGCCATGTAAGTGCATGCCTTGGATCTACTATACCTTGTGCAACCCTCAAAAATGTTTTCATTTATTTTAAAATCAGAAATAGCCCAGTGGTAGAGTGTGTATATATATGATTGTATATATTAGTAGACTGCAGTATTATGTTTGCATTTGTACCATTACATATGTAAAATATAATTTTAGTTTATTTTTTATAAAGGAAGTGCCTTACAAAGGCAAAAGTACCTAGGATTTAGAAAAGTCATAATGCAGCCCTGCTTTTTCCTTTATAAAGCGTTTTTTCTTAGGATATACTTCATTTCTTACTCACATTTTTTTCATTTCTTACACATGGTCTCATGAATGCTTAAACTTCCAACTGACTGCTGTTTTTTAGAGTATAACATCACAAATTACATAAATCATAAGTGTATGTCCATTTAACAATACCCAGATGAAAAAATAAAAGTAATTCTTTGGGAGTGGCATTTCAGCATTGTGCACTTAAGTTCAGAGCAGAATGTTCTGCCATGAGAATGTTTTGATAGATGCTAAAATAGTCAGGATTTAAATACTCATATTAAGGTGCATGAAATGTGCAAATAAAACTAAATGTTTTCCTAGCGTTTTATTAACAAATATTCCCTGCTCCCTGATTCAGTGTTTGAATTATTCAAAGAAATTTTTCTTCCCACAGCTCGTTGCATTTTGTTTCTCATCATCTGGCTCATAACTGGAGGAAGGCACCACTTTTGGTTCTTGCCAAATCTGACTGCTGACGTGGGCTTCATTGACTCCTTTAGGCCTCTATACACACATGAATACAAAGGACCAAAAGCAGACTTAAAGAAAGATGAGAAATCTGAAACCAAAAAACAGCAGAAGTCCGACAGTGAGGAAAAGTCAGACAGTGAGAAAAAGGAAGATGAGGAGGGAAAAGTAGGACCAGGAAATCATGGAACAGAAGGCTCAGGTGGAGAACGGCATTCAGACACAGACAGTGACAGAAGAGAAGATGACCGATCCCAACACAGTAGTGGAAATGGGAATGATTTTGAAATGATTACAAAAGAGGAACTGGAACAGCAAACAGATGGGGATTGTGAAGAAGAGGAGGAAGAAGACAATGATGGAGAGATACCTAAATCTTCACATGAAAAATCATAATTCGACTAATTTTGGGAACTGATTAAGGGCAAGAGGTTGGATTTTCTATGTTGGCTGATCATCATAATGTACACATCTTATTTGTAGCATTCTTTATATCCATTTACTGAAATGTATTTGACATCCAAGCAGTTATTCAGTTCATTTTATAGAGTATTGGTACTACTATTGGTACAGTCTAAAGCCATTAATAAGTTTATCCATTTGATAATTTAACAGTAAGTAGGTCTTATTCATTTTGATAGTTATCAAAGATGCATTTTCCACAATGACATTTAGATTAAGGGCATTTTTGATAGTTGTATGGCTTTTTACTGTTAGACTAATCAAAATAACTTTAGAAGGAATAAAGAAATTGCAACGTTTCAGATTATGCAGAGTTATATAGCCATTTCACAGTTTCTTTAGAATGAAATGCGTAACACTTTGTTCTTGATAGTTTGCTTTTGTTTTTCATCATAAAATTATCCAGGAAATTTCTTAAGATTCTGAGTTAGCAGGGTTCAAAAGCATTTCGTGGAAACAAGCCAACTAATAACAATGCAGCAGCACTTCTAGTTTAGCTGCAAATTCTCCTTTTCCAACTTAGGAAATCCAAACTGATTTGTACGTTTGATTCAGAGAAAGATGGTCATCTCCAGTAGAGAACATGAACAGCATTGGTTGGAAGGTGATGGCTCTCCTACCTTCTTCCCCATCTCCTTGTAACGTAAAGCGTATTCTGTATATAATTTACGAATAAAACATTTTATTTTAATTGTTACTTATTATTTAGACATTTCTCAACACTTAAATTTGTAAAATTAAGACCATGTAAGGGTATGTTTTTAGAGAAGTGAAAGTTTCGATAACCCACAGAACACCTGTGATCTTTCTACAGCAGCTTCAGTTTTGTGCCAACATTCCATGTATTTGAATATGAGTAAAAACTGATCCTTATTAAATATAAGAGCAGACTTAAAAGTAGCTGTTTGTAAGCCTTAATGTTCATTTTGTTTTATTTTAAAACTTTACATTCAGAAATGGGGGTACTGTATTACCAGACCAGGAGGCCCTGCTGTGAAAGATAATTTACTGTTCTAAAATATCAATTTAAAATAAAGGCTATAAAAGAAAACATAGAGAACCATTGGACTCTAATTGCTTCAAACTAGTTTTGTAATTTGGTTTTATGTTTCAAATCATAGAAGAGCCTTGTTTACTTATGAGCATAATCATTCCTTGGAGTTATACTCTCAAAGTGATAGTGAATATTAAATTATTTTCCTTCAGTCACAGAGCAATTTGCTTTGTAGTTGAAATAAGTGAGTAGGTCTTTAATTTTTTTAGGTTGTTTCCCATCCAAGTGTTTGACTAAAGATGTTAAATTCTTATAATTATGAAAAAATACTTTTTCTATATATTGATACATCCTATCAAACATGGCTTGATTGCTTCTTTAATAGTATTCCCTGTAAGTGGCTAGAAGTGTGGCTCTTCCATGTTAATGCAATACTGTCAAGGCTGCAATCATTTCAAATTTTCTCTTAGCAAATGTTTGTTGATTTTAGTGCCTGGGTATTTCCCCCTCACATTTGCAGATCTCTTTTGCTTTATTTCCACAATTAAGGATATATAAAATTTGAGCTTCTGAGCTTCTTAATCACCAGTAACAATAATACCTATTATGGGGTATTGAAAATGATACCAAAAGTGTTTCTCAGAAATAAAATTAATTTTGTTAACAATTACTACTATGGGAATACCCGAGCACTCACTGTTTAAAGTTCTTTCTAATACATGTATTGTGTCTAGTCTCAAAGACATGTGGAGCATGACAGGAAAGTCAGCTTTTTATTGTGTATGGATTCTTACAGAATGTTAATACAAGGTTTTTAAATATTGGTGATTCTGAGGGGAATTGCATTCTTAAATGGTTAGAAAGTGAGTTCGAAATTTCAGCTTAGTTTTTATTGTACTCGTCAAGTACACACACAAACATAAAACTCAAAGGCTGCATATGTTACAATGCTCAGAATAGATGACTGTCTTTGTTAGCTAACTTTAAATATCCTCCAGAGCATGGAGAATTGTTTACAGTAGTCAATAGAATTGATGATTAAAATAAAAGGGGGCAGGGGAAATCTTCAGATTTGCTATGCCACTGTTAAGTATAAGCACAAAACTTTCAGATACTGTAGGATTTAGTGTGGAATGGTTATAAACTGGCCTAACTAAGCAGAATTGAATTAACAGGACTAAGTCCAGATGGTAAGAATAATGCATAGGTGAATGTTCTTAAAGTTACTATATTAAATAGGGTGCTTTTCCTTTTCCCTTCCACTGAATTCTTTAATTTCCAAATATAAAGCCTAGACAATGTTAATTGAATAATTTAGATGAACAATATTCAGAAAGTAATAAATTTTAATATATCGCATTGAAATTATGCAGTGGTGATGGATTTTGGTGTTTTCTCCCTCTTTCTGGTTTTATATAGTGGGTACCAATTAGCTACTGACTAGAAACCATGTCTTTTGCAAATTGAATTTTCTTTTTCCTAATCTTTATTAAGAACTGGAAAAACAGCATCTCAGTTGTTCTTGTATTTGTGGTAGTTATGTGCTATATAGTCACTGTGATCACTCAATTAAACCATTGCTTCTAGGGGAAATAAAGGGCTGGGTGTTTGCAAGCCTCTGGCTACATTTTATTTAAACAGTCAATATGTAAACTTGTTTTAGCTGTTCTTTCTGTTAGAAAGACACTTTATTTAATATAGCTGATTCATTAACCCTGTACACAACAAATAACACTATACTTCCTGTCTGATGAGCTTTTCTGACACTTTTTTCTTTCATAAGGCACATCACAGCCTTAGGCCAAGTGCCTTATTGGACACACTCCTTGGAGGTCACTTTAAAAAGTGAAATCACCAACAAAAAGCACAAATGTGAAAAAAACATGGCATTAAATAGAGCAAAAGGACTCTCATTTATAGTATGAGACCTGGAACAAGAAGGCATTGTTCAACCTTAGCTGAGAATGCATTGGACAAGTCACAAATTTTTTGCTACTCTGCGTATAGCTACAAAAACACTGCAGAAATTTTAGCCAAATTCACAAATATGGAATGTTAGATTTACTATGAATAAAGATTTACTGTGTTTAACTATAAACTTGTGGTATTTAGTTACCTAATCTACAGAATAGAATATTGATGAATTGTGCTTCACTATTTGCGTAACATTTTAAATATCCACTCTGGAAGTTTTGCTTTTACTTTTAGAGCTGTATTTCAGGTCTTTGTTCATTCATTAATGCTGAGCATTTACCATATTACCAGAGTATAATAGACAAAGCCATGAGTAAAAATCCAGTATTCCTGTTGACCATCAAATAGTGTAAAATGTTGTGGCAGAGATTTGCCAAATGGGCTAGACATTTCTTATTTACCCTCCAGCTCTCCTCTACTCCATGAGGCTAAACTGAATGGACCACAGCAGTGGGCTACTGTGCCTCCTGGCTTCTGGGTGAGATTGGCCAAAGATGGTCCTGGCCAGAAATCTATTCTTTTGGCTCTTCCCCCAGTGGAGCTGCCTCAGGAGTCGAAGGCTACCACTTCTCCCAAACTTCCCTTCACCACTATGAGTTGTCATTCTCTGTTCTCTCCTTTTGACCATGGACAATATCAGATTTGAGGCTCATATCCTGGAGTTTCTGAAACTAATATGCTTCCTCTGTACCCTATTCCCACACTTGTATCCTCCAAGTATCGTAAGAACCATGTTAGAACTAAAACCAATGGCTGGGCACATTGGCGCATGCCTGTAATCCCAGCAGCTTAGGCAGTAAGGCAGGAGGACAGCAAATTCAAAGCCACCCTCAGCAAAAGTGAGGTGCTAAGCAACTCAGACCCTGTCTCCAAATAAAATACAAAATAGGGCTGGGTATGTGGCTCAGTAGCTAAGTGTTCCTGAGTTCCATCACCAGTACCAAAAAAAAAAAAAAAAAAAAGGCCTATGATCTCATGATCTCTGTTCTCAATGGGACATTAGAAAGAGAGGGCAGGATGGCTTCAGTTTCAACTTTTTTTGCTACATGGACCCTTAGACTATTTTTAAATGCAGAAAATGAAATGCATGGATTACAAAAGAAACCAATTAATTAATGTAAGCTATTGTGTTCTGATACAGTAATATTTGTGTGCAATTACTAGATTTAGGAGGGGGGTTTAATACTAGAATGACACTGAAGTAGCATAATATACTGAGATCTTTGCATCAACTATAAAGTGGTATGAAAATAACAAATTTCTATTATTGACAAAAAATTACACTACTTTTACAACTGTGGATTATTTTTTACATTTACAATCGAAGAAAATACTAAATTTCCATTATAGTCTAGTGAAAATAACTTTTCCCCATCCATGCTCATGTATGCTCTGAATTCTAAAATCTCTTCAAGATCTGTGAACTACAGGTTTTAAGAACACCTGAACGTAATTAATCAGCTCCACCAATGTTTCAAATAGGACTATAATATTATATTAAAAGGCCAATAATGCTTAATTTAGTGTAATACTTAATATTATTCACATCTCATGTCTACTTCATTAGCACAAATCAGCAAATTATGCATGTTGCAGAAAGTTGTTTTTTTTTTTTATCTTACTCCTAGATAAAAGGTCAAGATTTTTTTTTTTTCCATAGCAACTTTAAAATGAAGAAGCAGGGCAGGATCCTATCCATACTGAGATTATCTTCCATTCATTTACAAACATTTGTGAAGCCATTACCATGTGCCAAGAGTTGAGCAATCATAGAACTAGCTTGGGAGCTAGAACATAGAACTAGCTCAAAGAGCCAGTTTAGTGAGAGAGACAAGTATTCATTCAGTCAGTTGCAAAAGGGTTGAGCAATGTCAGATGTGTCTGTGACATGCCCATGAAATCCCATGAGTGTCTAGCCCAGACCAGAGAGAAATCTGGAAGAAATCTCATGATCTTGAAGAATGAGTTGGTGTTATCCAGGTAAAGAATAGAGCCAGTGCAGCAAGATGTGCAAAAATAAGAGACAATGAGTGAACCTGGCATTCCCTGAAACAAAAAATAGGTATGGCCAGAAAAGACAAGTCCATCAAGTCTTTCAGGTGACAAGTCATTTTTTGCCTAGAAGGCCTTGCTTTGGAAAACATTCTTCCCCCTTTCGTTACAGTCCTCAGTTTATTCTAGGTTACTGGCCTCGAGAAAAAAACTCCCAATCCTAACCAGGCCAAAGTCCACACTTCCTCTGGATCTTGAGTTCTTGGGATCATGTGTGCCTAAAGATGCCAATGGCTATATTGTCCCCACAGGAACAGAGCCTGCCTAGAAACAAAACCCCATGACAGAAGCAGAACCAAAGGCTGGATCAGGACAACAAGGCTGCCTTGACACGCCATCTTATTACATAAAAATCAGAAGACGCTTCTAAGTAAAATTAAACAAAAACCCCAACCTTATTCTTAAGGGACAACTACTCATAGTCTATAAACCCAAGGTGTGTAACAAGTGTGTCCATGTGTTCACTGAGATGGGAAGAGATTAAGTAAATGGGGTCATAACATGTGTATCTTACCTTAGAATACTCAGAAATTGATGATCTGGAAAAAGAGTATCGTGGGAAACCAAAGACTTGAACTTTTTCCAGAAGAACAAATCACTGACTGATTTCTGGTTTTAAATTATATTTCTGCCCACCAACTTCAAGCTTGAAAATGTGAACATAGGCTGACCTTAGACCAAGTATGTACAAAATACAACATACAAAATGTTACAGACTCCATATTTCACATTACACTGTGTTTGATGATCAATGAGGGGATTAAAAGAGGAAGTTTTTATTACTAACTTTTCCCATCTTCAAATATGTATCTTCTCCTTTCACAGTTATGGTCTATTGTACTTCAAAGAAAAAAATAAAGATCAGTCACAAGAAAATTAGTCTACAACTGAGGACAAGAACAATAAGTGTGCACAAACTGGTCTGCATTTATAGTCTACAATATCAAACAGATTTCACAACTGTAAAGAACTACTAGGGGCTGGGGTTGTGGCTCAGTGGCAGAGTGCTTGCCTAGCATGTGTGAAGCACC